TTATTCAATCACACAGTGTTCTGAAAGTGCATTGTCCTCTATTCTGCACTTTAGATGAATGACTGCTTAGGTACCACTGGTGACGGCACTGTATCGATACTTTTAAAAACGAGTATTGTATCCGGATACAACATTTCAGTATCGATACTTTTTTGAGTTTCGATACTTTTGACAACCCTAGTTAATATATGGCGTTCTTTTCGAATTGTCTTTCTAGGATCACACCTTCTTCATCTCTGCAGGCAGGCTTTCCTCTGAAGTGTCTAAATGGATGTAACAACCTTATTATTGGTCAGTGGTTATGTCAAGAGCATTTGTATTGGTCTTAAAGTGAAGAAATTGTCTTTAAAATTAGATTAGAGAAGAATGCTATATATATAAAACTTAGCCTTAAAAATTGAAATCTGAACAAAAGTAAAATCTCAAAAATAATATGTCTGAAAAAGAAATCTTGACAAAATATAACGAACAAAAATTTGATTTGCATTTTTCTGGGAAATAAAAACATTTCAAAAATAATATGCAAAATAAGTTTGTTTTTTGGGATTAAAACAAGTGTCATTTCTTTAAAGTTTTTTTTCAAATTTCCATTTTCAAGAATTTCTCTTTGCTTGCAACAAATCATGGGATAAAATTCATTCCATACAAATCTAGCTTCAGAGGCTGATTTGTGAATGGCATGACCATTAGTTGGTTTATCATCAGGTTATTTATCTAAATTACTGATCTTTGTTGCCCCTTCAGATTTAACATGGACCATTTCATGCCTCTCAAATTAATCCCTGCTAATTGCAGCTGTGAAGCCATGCATTTATATGCAGAATATGTCTTACAGATTATGATAAAGCGCAATGCACTGAAAAAAACTGGAGAAAAAGGGACTACAAAGAAGATTTTTTACTTTTGACAGGAATAAAGAAATATAAATCTTTATTCAATCTCAGTTCAAAATGAATTAAGGATACATGTCAAGGGTAAGAACACTTCTTTTACTCCACCTTAAAAACAAACGAGAAAAATCCCTGTGCTGACCTCTAAAAAGGTGAAGTTAACGTTTTATCAAAGCAACAGTCAAGTTTACTTAGCAGGCAGAGTAAGAAAGCACTGACTAAACAGTCTAACAAGACAGGATGTTTATTCTTTGGAAAGGACTTTAGTCTGCCAAAGATGAACAAACGAGCCTGAGTCATATTAATTCAACCTTCACAGGAAGGTAGGCTAAATAGTGGTTGAACAGATGTATTGTGTTGCATAAAAATGATGTGTTGCTTCAGTGTTTGACATCTAATACATACAGCTTTCACCAAGCTCTTTGGTTTGGCATGCTTCTGATTAACCCTCAGAGAGTTTATTCCTTACTGTTGTTTCAATATATGGCAATCTGTACTTAGAGAGAATAAAACTGACCTGATTTATATTTTTGCCCTACAAAGAATCCAAAGATGATGGATCTTCTGCAATGCTTTAATGCTAAGAGTTGAAAAGTGGAGCCTCAGGACTCATTTTTGGACATTTGACTACCCTAAGAAATACTACTTAGTAGATAAATAACAAACAGAGGATTTATTCAAATTGCAAGACAAAAAAAGGGGAAAAAAGAGAGAAATCAAAGCAGGTTATCGGGCTAAAAATGCCAAGGAAATAGGTAAATTACACATTAAAAAGACAATTAAGCAACCCAATAAACATTTCTCTTTATTATTCTCCCCTAAAACGTATATATATATATATTTCTGTTTGACATAAGGCATGCCAAAAAAAAACAAAAAAACTATAAGAACACTTTAAGACCTAAAGTATTTCAAGAACAGCTGTAACAGAGAAATGTCCTTCTTGGCATCCATCAGCCTGAAGAATAATTTCTAAGTTGTTTAGATCCCTCAGAGAGAGCCTTATATTAAAGATTGAGTCAAATATCAACCTCACATGACCGATCAGGTGTTTTCCCACTGCTTGAGTCCTGAATGCAGCATAAGAATACTTTGTTGACGTCTCCAGTTGGCATGAACAGATGTTAATACTAGCAGACACCATAAAGTAAGAACAACTTGACCTATTGCAACGTATTCAATAAAACCTCGATCCACCACTGATCTGCAGAATGAATGGCCAGCTTGCCAATTCTACTTCCTTTTTACTACAGCCTGAAGTAACAACAGTGTATGACAACAATATGCTTTGCAGTGTTGTGGTCAAGACCACCTAACCCGAGACCAAGACAAGACCAAGACCAGAGTGTATC